CTCACTTTGCAATATGACCCACGGATCTTGCTTTTACAACCCTTCAATTTTCCTACATCCTAGAAAAAAAAACATTTATTCCTTCACACCGCTTCTGCCAATTGCGCCTTAGAGAGTGGGTTTGTTCGCATCGACTAGAATTTCTCGCCTACCTTCAAAAGTGGGTGGATTCGGTGAGTCAATTTTGTGTCTCCACTAATCCAGCTTGCAAATTTCAGGTACTTCCTTCCACTCCCACTTTTCGTGAGTAAATTTTGCCACAAATCATGATCAAGCAGCCCTCCTCGACGAAGACAAAAAAGCACGACTTTAACCACTGAAGGTGGAATTCGATTGCTTATTGGAATGTTAATTGTATGAAAGGAAAGAAGTGTTGATAAGGTTTTGTGAAATGTTGACATTAATGGAGAGGCTACTTTAGTCTTGAATTTCATTTCTCCCCCAGAAGTGTCAGTAGAAGAGATCGGTAGTCGCTGGTTGTGTCACTCTTCACCATCTCGGCCAATGAACGTCCAATCTTCTGTTGGTAGAGCACCTTTAGAGTTGCAAGGTCAATCTACAAGGTGGCAGACAAGGGCATTGCTTTTCCTTTTGTTTTTTTTTAACTCTGAGGTCTTTGCTAATTTCCACTGAGACTACGAAAGTGTGGCGGTTTTACAGCTGTGCGGTAGAATGCAAAAAAAAATAAATAAATAAGAATTACTTCAGAGCGGATAGCGATGATTCTGGACAATGCGCGTTCATCGGTCCCCAGTCCGTGCATAGAGTTGTAGAGTTGAGCCACCAACAACAGTCGCAAATCCACTGCTGCCATGACTGTGGAGCAGAAGAAAGACGGATTTTTTAGCAGTAACGGCATCACCTTAACACAGTGGATTTGACAGTGCAACACACACTTACTGACTGTGTTGTAAGCATCACGCAAGGGATTCCTAAAGGCCTTAGTGATGAAATCCACCAACGAAATATTGTACACCTACGAGAATGCAAGAAGACAAAATGCCTTCCAAGTAAACAAGCTAGACAGGACTGGCGAGAAGGGAGTCACACCTTCAAAACACTGTTTCAAAGACGTACATCTTTAAAGTGATCATAGATGGCTCGTATGTCGAGAACACTTGCAGAACAGAGAATCCGTGTCACCTCCGTTTCATTTCCTTTACCAGCTTTTCTGCAAAAACAAAAATTACGCTACCACCCAACTCAGTAGTCCTTCAAACAAACTAATGCCGGTATAAATCAGTTCCCCCAAGTGTGTGTGTGTGTATGACTTTGTGGCCGCAAAACAAACGCACAGTTCTTTTGAATTGAAGCAATATTACTCCACAATCGAGTTGCTGGGTGGTGAATGAAGTGAGCAGTTATGCTTCCCATTGAAAGGGCAAATCATTCATGTGCTCATGAACACAGGACCAATGCAAAAAAGAAATGGATGCGCAAATGAAACCCGGTAGGACTAAGACACAATACGCAGAGGTGGTGCGTGTATTCC